AAATTAAAACCTCAGAGCATCTTGTAGAACAATGTGTTTTAATTCCTGTCCACATCGAAGGGTTATTTTCTCGTGTTGATGCATGTGTGTAATTCCTGGTAACTTTAACTTAGGAATTGTATAGTCAGTTTATAGAGCTGTGAGAGACTTTTTCACACCCGAAGCAAGATGGAGGTTGCTGTATTCATTCAAGCATGAAATCCTGGCTGAGAGATTAAGCCTCTTACACAGATCCCAGTGCCGTTAAATGCCAATGAGGACCGTGTAAGCCACATCTCCGAGTGGAGGAGAGCTTCCCTTTGTTAGTTGTTCAAAATTAGAAATGTAAACAGCTCTCATGGAGTAATTAGTCTGTGTTTGAATTGTGAGAAAGTGATAAAAATAATGACATGGCGGAGCTCCTAGCGATGTCACACAGCTGTATCTTACAGCCTAACAAAGACATGACTGCTCTGCTGGGAGGTAAATGTGGGCTATAGAGCAGAAGTCACACGGGAGGAGAAGTCCCTTTGCATAAGGTCACTAACAGCTGTCTGAAAAAATCCCTCTTGCTTACAGGAGGAACGGCGTTTTTTGAAGTTTCATGGTGAAAACTGCAATTTGTCATAATTCCACAATGCACACGTGTGTCCTCCAAAAACCCAGGTTCTCTGTCAGGAGAAATTCATGGCTACAGTGGTGTGAGAGCCCTCACCACTTGCTCTTCTTTTTCCCATCCCTAACTCCTAAATGACTGCTTTAGTGAACCTGTGGCTTCATGGTCCCCCTGTAATCCGTCGCTGCCATCTTTGACGGTGACTCACATAAAGCTGTTTCTAGCTATACACAAGGTGTTTTGCCCGTGTCACTGTCTTGCTAAACAGGTTTCTGTGGAAATTAAATAAAATCACCACCACTGGTGCTAATTGGTGCCTTTGGCAGGCTGAGCAAGGGCTTGTGAATTGAATGTGTCATGGAGAATTGAATGTGTCAACTCTCTCCCAATGGCTGGGACCTTGAGGTCTTTTTCTGGCACTAAATTTCCTTTGAAAAAAAAGAAAAAAGGGGGGGGCGGGAAGAGAAAGAGAGAGAAAAAAAACAAACTGAAATAAAAGATCTTTTCCCTTTTTTTTTTTATGAGGTGTTGAAGTTGAGCATTGTAGTGTCCACACTGAAGTGTTTGCTTGTCAGATGCCTTGAGAAGTAGGGCTGTTTTCTGCTGTTGTTTCTCAGGCATCCCATTTGTTGCCATTAGATGCTGAGCAGCACGGAGTGGCAGGTTTTATTCAGTCTGTTCAAGCATCTGGCAGGATAGCCATGAAGTTGTTGCCGATGTCCTTAAGGGACTGTAGGGATCTGCATGATTCATTCAGTATTTTTTTCAAGGTACAAAGAAGAAATGTCTTACGCTGTAGTAAATACTGTTCCAAGTAGAGCACAACCAGCTTAGCAGAGTGCAGGAGATTTGCTGCTTTGGAGGCACTGACTGGCAGCACAAGCTCCCGTGCCTTTGGGCAAGAATACACTAACCCACGTGGAGTTAAACTGGGCTGTATTTCAGTCTGCTGAGGATTGGCAGAACCATGTCCACAAACCAATTCACATTTTAAGTTGCCCTGACTAGGAGGGGAGAAGGTTATCACTGCCAGGCTTTGAGTTATTTGGGTGTCAGAAAAGCCTCATTGTGGTTCAAGCTGCTGTCGAGTTTGTTGGTGATGAAGCCAAGATTATGTGTGCAGGAGGCTGGAGAGAGGAGGGTTGCATTTTTTTGTTTTTCTTTCAGTTGGAAACGTACTTTTTCTTTTCCAGTTGGGCCATTTGTTTGTCTTTGGCAATATTACGTTTACTTTGGGAAAATGGAGGGAGGAAGGTCTTTCAGCAGGGGACAGCTACTAGTCCTAAAGCACAGATTAGCCATATCCTTTTACACAGGTATCTTCCCTTCCAATATTTCTTCAGAAAAGACTGAATTTGGTACTTTCTCTTATGTACTGAGCCAAAGAGATTTTACACTGAAGGTATCTTCAATGCAGTTTACATAACATGGCACCAAGAAACTCTGGAAAGTCCATAGGCTGAGAGATAGCATTTCCTTGGGGACCACATGCTCTGTTGCCTTTTCTGTTCTTCTGTGTCTTCTTATTTTCGAGTCCAGCCCTGACCTCTGCAGCAGATTCAGGTGTCCACAATAAGGTGTCCATGTTCTCCTCAAACCACAGAAAACTGGGTCTTGTTGTGGGTTTGATTTTTTTTTTAAGAAGTTACAAGCCAAATGTGTCCAGAGAAAAATTTTTATCCATGTGCATTTTCAGAAGTGTCAGTCTGTGAGCTTAGAAGTCTTCATTTTTGTCAAGGTCCGATAACCTGCCTGAAACACCTGCATATTTCCCATTAAGCTACTGTTTTCTTCCAGCCCTCATTCACAGACACATTTTTCTATCCTGAGCTATTACTTCCCAAAAATGACCAGTTAAAGGGTATTTCACAGCATATTCATCTTTCAAGTGCAGTTCTTTCAAGTAGTGCCAAGAATGATAAACCAATAGATTTCAAACTTCTCCTTATCAGAATGAACCCACAGAGCTGAAATCTAAAATGAAACTCTTCGGGCCCATGGAAAAGGACATGGCAATTGCAAACTTGTGATTACAGCTTGATATTTTCCCCTCTGAATTCTCTCTCCTGGTTAAAAAACTATATATTAAAAATCTAATAAATGAAGAAATAATAGAAGATAGACTTTGGGACTAGCTAGCAGGATAGAAAAATGCTGCAGTGTTGTCTCAAAGTTGCACTGTTAAATGTCACAAACTCAGATTTGTTTCCTATTTTTCTATTTTTCCTATTTTCATTCTGGAGAAAAATAATTCAAATTTTCATAATTTTCCAGTGAAATAAAAGGTTTACAAACACTCACAAGAAGCACAAACAGGCTGTGGCTGTTTGTGCCACATCCCTGAGAACAGTGTTCCACTTACTGAAATAATTATTAAACCGTCTCCATCATAAAGTGTGAAATTTTAAAGAAGCTGTTGGCAGTATGAAAAATGTTTCTCTCAGCTGTGTTATGTCTGCATTACCTGCCTGCCCATGTGTTGTAGTGCCTGCAAGTGATTTTCTGTGTCAGGGATAAACTCGCTGTATTCCAGCTGGGAATACATGGTCACCTTTGCTTGTTATGGAGGTAATGATTGTTGCTGGTCTGGCTGCAGAGCTGGAGGGAGGATTCCCAGTGCCATGCAGGGCTTGAGCCAAGCAAGAGGCAGCAGAGGGGCCATTCTGGATTCAGCCCTTCCGTCCAAGGACCACCTCTACACAGTCACAATGTTTGCTGTGTTCTGCTGTGCACGCCCTCTCCTTGTCTCCTTTGCCATTATGAGGATGCTGCATGGCTGAGCACAAGTGGGCATGTCAGATGGGCTGGGATGCTTCACCTTGGCCAACATAAGGGAGCTGATGCAAACATCATCTTTGCTCACTGCCTAAAGCACAGATTATTTTATCTGTGTCATGCTCCAAGGGAATACCAAGGCTCGTGAGCCCAGGTTTCTTTTATTTACTGATTGGTTTTGACATTTCTCTGGAGCTGTAACAAACCTCTGACTGTGCTTAAGAGAACAGTAAAACCTGCATCATCTTGTGTGATGCGAAGTTGGTTTTTACTTCAGGAACCACTTCTGCCTCCCAGCCAGCATTCCCCAGCATGTTTTCCCTCTCCCCATAGTAGCTGGGTCACCAAACACCACATCTGCATCCACAAGCTCTATAGGAGCTTTGGGTTCTCTCCTTACTGCGGTTCCAAAGCAGGGACTGCCCATATCCGTGGGACAAGGGCTGGATTCAGCCCCGCCGTATTTCCCCTGTGGATAGAGTAGCAACCAATTATTCCCTAAGGGTATTCCTGCATCACTGATTTACTGTGCTAGATGGGAGCTTTCCCAGCATGAATTCTCCTTATGTCTGTACCTGCAATCTTGTGTTATGGACATAAGTGTGGCAAGTGGTGCTCTCAAAGTGGTTTCCCTCCCGCTGAAAATAAAGCTGAAGTCACAAGCTGGGATGTTGTGTTGAACATCTCACTGGCAACAAGGACCTCCCTCTGTAAATTCTCTGCATGAACCCTGTGCACGCCCAGGATTAGGGCTGGGACATTACAGATTGCAGTGAGGCAAATCCTGGTCCTTGTTGTTTGTCCCACGCCTGTCGCATTATAGCTCTTCCCTTGGGGATCTACCTGTGAGCCCTGACCTCGCCCTGGGGGTGGTGTTGAGCTGCCTGGGTTGTGTGTGTTGCAGCAAAAGCTACTTGACATGTTTGCAGTGGAGAAAGTGGCAGCAACCCATCCCACAGACCACCCAGTTGTACCGTGCTGTCAAAGGGAAAACCACAGGATTAAGGCAACTAAACCCACCCTCTTTACTGAAAATTAGGCAGATGCAGGGTGAGCAGAGCCTCCCTTTACACTGTCAACCATCGGCAGCCTCCATTATCCCACCATGGTGAATTCTCCTGTAGCTTATTTTTCATTCTTGCAACTGAGATGAGTGTCCTACCTCCGGTCCTGCCTGGTTTCAAAAAGGAGGGGAACCAACCTTAGCTCTTTTATGTAAGGCCCTTTAAATAAGGTCCTGCTTTAACCTGATTTTCTGCCTGGGATGCAACAATGAATTCCTGCTGCTTGAGCTTGCCATGTTGCTTATATTCAAAGTATAATGGGGAGCCTTCAGAAAAATATAACCTTATTTACACTGTACAAAGCCAATTGGATTTTGGTTAACAATTTCTAAGTGATTACAGTTCACTAACAATGTAGGTGTGCTATAGATGCAATGCACAGGAGGGGACTTTTTATTTTAAACCAAACAGGCTTTCTTTTATTCATGTCATTCAGGCAGCCTCGGGATAATTCACATTTCCAGCTTTCATATTGTGTTGTTCAACCACTGTTTTTTCTCCCTGCCTATTGTACTCTTACAAATCGTACTCACTAATTTCTGAAAGCTTTTCATTTCTCTCTATAGGTTGTTGTTTCGTAACATTTTATACAAGAAAAGCTGCTCTTGAGGCACAGAATGCACTGCACAATATTAAAACTTTACCTGGGGTGAGTACATTTATTTTTTGATCCTAATTATTTTACTGCCAGAAAAATAGCCCTTTTACTCTCAGTGCTGCTTGGTGCCCCAAATGACCTTGATCTCTGCAAGGAGGGTGGCAAACCTGATGGTCTGTCCTGTACCAGTGCCAGTCCTGTAGCAATGGCATCATTTCCACAGGCAGCTGCTCTTCTGTAGAAAGTCCCTTGGCTGGAAATAGTGCTGATACCTGCTGACTAAAGGCAGTGACCAAAGTGCAATGTAGATTCATTTCTAATTTTTTTTTATTTAAGGGGGAGGGAGGGAGAGAGAGGGGATAAAATACGGCAGAAAAACACTACGCCAACAGGACTTCAAGTTTCAAAAGGGAGAGAGGAGCAAAAGACAAGAAACAGCCAGCTTTGTTAAATGCAGCCTTTATTCACATGGTTTCTAAGCAACTTGAAAGCATCGGTGTGGTGGCTGCCCATCTCAGGATGTTGTAGAGCGTGGTGCCACATTGCTGCTTGCACAGTGTCATCCTGTTCCCTGCCACCACCTCTCCTCACCACCTGCTCCCACTGATAACTCACACCAGCACTCAAAACAGTCATGATTGTGTTGTACAAAGTGTTCCTTGCGTTTTCCTATGGTAGTTTATATTTAAATTGCAGGGCTAGAGAGAAGTATATCACTGGTAATTGCATGTCTTAACTCTGAAATTTTCTTGTTCCACACTTTTCATTTTTCCTGCTGAACACAGCCAAATATTTTGAGGATAGAAAAGAAAAAAAGATAAAGGATGGAGGTTTATTCCCTTTTGATGTAGGAGAAATGTTGAATTATATGTTTAAAGTGTCTGCTTACAGACATGAAAATAAATAAATACACTATATAAACAAAGAGAGCATTGACTGGACTGAGAGTTATATGGCCAATATCTGCTTTAGTTCCTATGTGCTCTATGTGAAATTGGACACTATATGTTTGAAAAATTCACATCTGGCCAGCTCACTTTATGTAACTCCTGTTAGGAAAGCCACCTTATCTGTCATGGAAATGACCAGCCTAGAGAAGTACGTGGGACAGTTACCTGTGAATCCTGCTAATTCACCAAGGCAAAATGGAAGTCCTCTGTCATTTTCAGGTGTAAATGCCCTAAGTGGTGGTAGGAAATCTGCAGAGGTAGGCCAGCCACAGGAAAACAGGAGAAAAATTGCAGCACTTGAGATTCAAGTGATGTTTTCCAGCAACTGGCTCTCAAAAGGGGCAGTGTCAAGACCTTACAAGCCTCCCGGTAGCAGGCTTGACATTAAGGTTGTACGGGACGGATGTGTCATCCTCAGAGAGAAATGAAGGCTCTGAAAGGTGATTTCCTTGTTGTTTCCCATCTCCACTGCCAGGAAAAGCCGAGCCCTTGGACGAGTGCTCTAACCCAATTCAGCTAATGTTGCACTTAAACCAACTCGCTGAATTACTGCTCTCCAACATTCTTTGAGTCAAATGGCTGTGCAGATTGGATGGACACTCTAGTGGAAGGTGGTCCTGAGCTGCTGGAGCAGCACCCTGCCCAGACAGCATCCCTGAAGCTCTGCTGCAAGATCTACACATCACTTCTCCTAGAAATAGAGAGGGTCCTTTTAGAAACATAGAATTGTTAGGGTTGGAAAAGACTTCCGAGATCATTGAGTCCAACCTTTGGGCGAGCACCACCATGTCAACTAGACTATGGCACTGAGTGCCACGTCCAGTCGTTTTTTGAACACTTCCAGGGATGGTGACTCCACTACTTCCCTGAGCAGCCCATTCCAATGCTTGACCACCTTTTCAGTGAAGTTCTTTCTGATGTCCAATCTGAGCCTCCCCTGGCACAGCTCAAGGCCATTTCCTCTTGTCCTGTCGCTGGTTGCCTGGGAGAAGAGCTTGACCCCCACCTGGCTACAACCTCCTTTCAGGTAGTTGTAGGGAGCGTTAAAATCTCCCCTGAGCCTCCTGTTCTCCAGGCTAAATAACCCCAGCTACCTCAGCCACTTTTCTTTGCTCCTCTGTTATTCCCTGAGCCCCTCAAGCTGGTTGCTGTGTTTTGAGAGATCTTAGTTATCTCAGTGGGTGACGGGGAGAGGCAGACTCCTCCTCTGACTTCTACACATTCAGATGGCAAAGCTGGCTCAGCTCTGCGTTGCATCTTACTTGAGCAGTTCATCATTTTCTCCTTCACTTTTGCACAGCTAATGAGCAGGCAGCAGTTAAAGGCGCTGCTGTACCTTTTGATTTTTTTTTAAATTTCCAAAATAATAGTTTTTCTAAAGCTCTCTCTAGTTCTTTGTCTTTCCAAGATGAGTTTTTATGTCCTGACTGTGAGGTTGCAAACTTTCCTTTTAAGGAAATGTGGAAATTGCATCCCTGTGACTCTGGGGTCTGATACAGCCAGAGATGTTTAGATTTTACTTTGAGATAAGTTGTTATACCTACTTTTTAAATGGACACCTCCAATAAAGAGAAGCAACTTGAATACAAATCTACTACTTGTCCTTCAGGATGATTCAGCATATATTATATAACAGATTCTATATTTTGCACGTGCAGTATGCTGACATTCAGCGTATATGGAGATACTGTTATGCTGCATCTGTGTATGCCCAAAATAACTTCATTTAAGTTGTGGCACACGTGCTGAAAACACTTCACGTTAGCAGGATTCTCCATATATGAATTTTAGCAATTTCTGTATTGTTCCTCTTGCCTGCTAAGCAGCTTTTACTGAACAAGCAGGAATTGGTAGTGGATGGGTCCATGTGTGAAATAATCTCAGAGCAAATGGAAGCAATCTTCTGGCAGAGCTGCAACAAGGGATGAATTTGGATCAGGTTCATTTGGGCATCAAGTGTCAGCTTGCTTCCAGTAAATGAGGTATGGTCGGTAGGAGGTTCAGTAATAAGGTATCTCCTGGAAACAAAAGAATCTGTGCCTTCCACTTTTGCTGTAATACCACCATGCATCAGATAAGGCATCCTTAAATAGCCCAGGAAGAAAATCCGAGGCAAAGGCAAGTGATTTATTAGTGTAAGGTAAGGAAAGCTGGCAGAGGCAGGAGCAGGGGGCTGTAGGGATGCTGTGGTGCTTGGAAATCATCTGTGTTTTACCTGCATTCAGGTGTAACCTGCGCTGCTGCAGAGGCATGGAGGAAAATACCTCCGTCTTCATTAAATGAATGAACCTAGATTATTTTTGTGGTGGTCTCTTCATTTCTTAAATGCAGACCTGCTCCGTGTGGCTCAGTAAGGAGGTTTTGAATCGGCACCAGTGGAGCCAAAAAAGTGGGTTTTTTAGTGTGAAATTCATCCCCCTTCCAAGACTGCATGTTCAGTTTAATTTAAGTAGGTATTTGAGCAAAGCCTGCAGTGCTCTGTCTCTATCTTTGCTTTTTGCCTGGACCTCATCCTTAACAGAGACATGAAAACACGAGCGCTTGATCTGCTCCTTTGAGCTGCACCCTTTTAGTGGACATGAAGAAAATAAGACCAGATATAAATGATTAATGCAGGATCTTGGAAGAAAATATTGCAGGGTGCCTTGCTGTTTGATTACAAGCCTTGGAATTAGTCAACATTTCCATAATTCTAAACCAATATACACCTGTTTTCCCACTGTGATGTGAAGGCACAACTTAATTTAACAGAAACCCTGCTGTGCTAAATCTCTCATTAAATACCAAGCTAGTTCTGTAATTTAAAGTTGCAGCACTACTATTTTAACTGAATTGCCTTTGTATTATAAAATTAATAAGAAGTTAATGATGCACTTTGCTGTATTCTCTCAGATATTTTTTTTTCACAGCAACAACAACAAAAAAGAAAGATAAAGAAGAAAAACATGTCACCAGCTGACATCTCAAGGCTTTTCTGGTTTTAATCATTTTCCTGAGGATAGAAATTCATTTAAAAGATTTTTTTTAAAAATTTTAAAAAACTTTCTGCACAAGTAGGATCAAACATCATCTTTCTTACTCACGATTAGTATAATCTCTCTGTTAGTCATAACACTCCTTGTCATATAATGGAGCTTTTATCTTCCCCAAAAAATGTATTTAGATATCACTCGTTATGTAGGATTGCTGCTAGGCAGGGAAGATATGCAGTGTTTGAGAAATACAGGCATATTGTTATATATAAATCAGATCAACGAAACAGGGACAGTTCTCTTCTGTTTACTTGGTGCTGGAATCACAAGTAGCTTTTATGTCTTGTAAATGAACAACATGACTTTTCAGATGTGTCTTTTCAAATATAACATGGAAGCACACAGCTGATATCCTCATAGCTCATACGGATGCGGTTTGTATTGTTCAGCTTAGAGTCAGGTTTTCTTGTAGTGTTCATTTTGATTTTGTTTTAAAAGGCAGAAGGGAGAAAAGGGAAAACCTCAATTTGAATGTAATAATGATCTTAGAAATCTGCTTCTTTGGGCTGAGATGTAGAACTGAGGCCTTAACTAGTCTCATCTTCATTAAGAATCTCATGGCTTCGTTAGAGGTGTTTTAACTTCTATTCCCTAAACAGAATAATCCAATAAATTCCACCCATCTAAATTTATTCTGTACCTTCCATTAGATGTAATAATCTTGGTTCCCCCATGCTCTAATTTGCTACTTAGCGAAAATTGGCTTCTGTATAGAGGGCAAACCTCAAAGAGCCTTATGTAGGGACTGCTTTAACTGCCTTCGTGGCACTGACATTTCTTCTTTGTTTTAATTTTAACATGCTTTATTTTAAAAACAGAACATGCTCTGGTTTGCTAACTAGTGAACCTGGTAGGATTTCCTGGCAAGAGTTAAGTGCAGATAGGTAACACAAGAACAGTATATGTTGGTTGGATTCTCGGAGCCAAATAACTGAATAAATGTACCTTTAATCCCATACAGAGGCCGTTTGAGGTCTGGAATCAATGGGCATCCATTGGTAAAATCTACACCTAAAACCCTTTGGAGTCTTTGCTCTGTAGTTGAAGTTAGATAGATTGGACATGACAA